GAGAAACATTTTCTACATAAATGTAGAAATTTAAATTAAAATTAGTAAAAGTCAGCATATATTCCAGCAGAAACTGGTTATCAAAATACGTTTGGGGTGTAGACATGAAATTTTGTTATTTAGTATCCTCATTTGTCAGAAAATGTGCAGTGTTGAAAATGAAAATAGCGAACCCAATTTGGATCACACAGGTAAAATATGTTTGTTTATTGTGTGTGTTTGGTCGTTGACCTTCGTCATGTGCTACCAGGGAATGAATTATTTATTTGATTGAAATATTGCACAGGTGATTAATTTTGTCAGGTAAAACCCATGACATGTAGATTTCATGCAAAGAAGGTAATTACTCGATGTTTAGGGATTACTGACCGGGTGAAATTTACATGTCATTGATATTTGACAAGATGACAGCTGTCAAACTGAGCCATCAATCCGTCAGACACTTATATATAATCACCTTTAAATACGGAGGATATAAACAACACAAAGGTTTAGGTGTACATTACTAAATATATCAAACTATAAGACAATAGATTTGATGAGAATTAATTAGACTTCACAATGCATATCCTGGAGATTATACGCAGCTTCACATAATCTGAACACATATCAAGCAAGGAAACAAAGTAAAATGTGTTCTTCCTAATCTTGTTTAACTAGAAACCGTGTATTAATGGTTTAGATAGCCATTTATTTACGACCTCATTATCATCCATAAATAATTAATATGTTCCCTCCGTTTCGGGTCAATTGTCACGTGATAGCTTCAGTGATCATCTGACACGTGACAACAGCTGTTCAACGATGTGGCTGTCAATCAAGCACTGCAGTCATATTCCCGTGGCGGTGGATGTGCTGTATGTAATCCATGTGTCGGTCTTAGCATGCGCTGTTGTTGATGTCCGTGTGAATGGTTCTAGTGTTCGAAAATGGAACACATTATACCTGCTAGGGTTGGGTGGGTTGGGGTGAATATACAAGGTACGATTTAACGAAAATGCTGTTATGATTCGTATGTTCCTCTTTCTATGTGAAACAGTTGCATATGATATCATTTTACGATCTCATTTTATGTTGACAATTTAATAAAATATTATTATACTTCTTTACATATGGTGAGGCGGTTGGGTTGCTCAGTTGTTAAAGCGTTTGGTCGTCACGCCGAAGGCCCGGGTTCGATTCCCCACATGGGTACACATGTCATCGGTCCCCATATTGCGTAGATTGATGTTCATGCTGTTGATCACTGGATTGTCTGGTCCAGACTGGATTATCTACAGACTGCCGCCATATAGCTGGAATATTGCTGAGTGCGGAGTAAAACTAAACTCACTCACTCTGGTGCCCACGCCTTGGTATTGCTGGATTATTGCTAAAAGCGGCGTAAAACTATACCCACTCACTCACCTTAATTATCTCTGGCAGTCTTAGGCTGTGACGTCTGTGCAGTATCACATCGACTTGACCCGAACCCATCTCGTTAGACATCGGCGGTTCGAGATACAGGAGATATGCACAGTGCATTCCCTTATCACTTCGGCGCGTGCAAGCCGCCAAGTGCAGTACACATGGGAGAATGTTTTTTGTACCTTCTAGTCAACAATCGTCGTGTTTTTTATGGCACCTGTTCAGGAGTTAGCATGTCGGGGCGAAACGAACCAAAAATATCTTAGTGTAACTTTTCTTCTGCCTTGTGATGCAATAGTTTGAAGGAGAATATTGAGCAAATGGTACGTGTCAAAGTGTGTTTTTTTGGATAATAATAATAATAATAATCACGAAATGCTGGTATACGGTATGCCTTAAATGAATACATGACACGTTTGTATGGATAACAACTTCTATTGTATTCTCTATATGACCCTTTCAGAGGTAATTCTTGCTCCTTCATCAGGTGAATGCTGGGTCATTGCACAGAGTGAAATATATAGATAAAACATGTTTACACAAAGCAAGGAGGGAGAATGCACAAAGATAACAATATAATTAAGAAGACAATAGATAGGATTAATATTTGCATCCCAAAAAGTGTCGTGTGTTCATGTTCGTCCAACTTCTTAATGCCTTTCAAGAACTCCCTATAAATAAATGTTTTCAGAATTCAGTGAAAATTTCAATAACATAGTTTCGACTCATCCTTGATTGGTATTTGAAACTATTTGGCGAGGTGGGAGTAAACTGACTGCCGTGGGCACTACGGCCAATTTTATTATCATGCCCCCCGTCACGGTCAAGCGGGCTCCTCAGTCCAGTTTGTGTTTTATGATTTTGAACGCAGCTGTAAACTGATCTCGTTAACACTTCAGACGCATATAAGCTAAAGTAAAACTTCATGAGGGGTATCATATTTTCAGTACCACCTTCTGTTGCTGTGGAAACGAAATAAAACGCATTTCCCTTTTAAGTCCTTTAAGATTCATATCACTGTGCCCAAAGGTAAATCGGAGATGTGTACAGGTGTAGGAGCCTCGCCAACTCAAACAGCAAATACACCAAGTTACGAATGTCAAGAAAATGTTGAATAACATATCCAGCTTAACAAAAAGAAGAAAAGCCAATTCCATACGAAACTCTTTACATGCAGAGTTGCAATCAACAAACTCATTACCCGACGGGTTCTCTTCCTTTATTACAATTCTACAATGATACGTAATATTTTGCAAGTTTTTTTCTGAAACTACAGAAAGCTATTTTAAGCCTCACTGGTAGTATCTTGCCGTGTGCTATCTTTATCTGTATTTACCGGGCGTGGGATAGGTGATCCTGGTGCGGTAAAACTTGCTGCTACATGCTTGTCGTGCTCGGTACCAGCTTGAATGGCACCAGACCTGCAGACCGTGTTGATAGTTCCCCACACAAACAACAACTGTGGCAGTGTTTTATTTTTTATTAGTACATAAACATTTTAGCATATAAAAGTGAAAGAAAATAACTTTTCATTCGGTAACATGTTAACTTTCATAAAATACAGGTAGTTTTCAAATATTTTCAAAAATATTCATCATAATATGTTGACGATTAATGACAGATCCTTTACACGATTACAGAGATACACGGAAAGATTATCAACATAACTAAACGTCAAATAACTCTGCACTACAGTGTGTACTTAAGGTGTTATTTACAAATATAATCAGAAGAAAGCAGAGAGGATAAGAATGCTGATATCTCAGATATACTAGTACTCGGCGTAATGCCAAACCAAAGATTTTCCATGTCCAGACATTTGGACGTAAAAAATAAATGACCAATATCCAGCGCCACTTCCAAAATGCAACAGTCCACAAACTCGGTAGTAAAGACGACTTACGATAGTCGCGATTCGGCGATTTGGAGTCTTTGTGGAACTGGTCTAAATTCTGAGACGGGTTACGGTTTTAGCTACATTGAAATATCAGCTTTTTCTAAACACTGAGATTTGACTAGGAAGATACGGCTTGTGTTGAGGAAACACAAATGGTAAACAATATGATTCCTTCTATTTAAACCTAGCAGAATAAACGACAGTCTCCTGGGCACGACGTGAATAGAAACGATGTGTAAATGACAAACGCGCTTTGGATGTCGTTACCATGCCAACACAATGAAGCAATCTCACTCATCATCACAGGAAACAGGTAAAGAGGAATGGTGGGTAAATATATCAATACATGTACATAGTATACTGACTTTCCGGACACGGTTCCGATGTATTTGCAGGAGATACTTTCATCCATTCGTGACGAACTCGTATTATTCCGGGACTAGCTAAATTGCAACTCGTTGTCCTCATTTAGCGACCAACTCGTGTTATTCCGGAACGAGCCGATGTCACGGAAAATGGCGACTGGTGACGAATGAGCTTTATCCCAACTCGCATATTTCCGTAACAGATGTAGCATGTTTTCGTGAGGATGCAGCCAATATGTACTGTCTCTCCACTGATAAGTTTGTTTCACTCTCACTTGTATGTCTGACAGTTGGAGTAGGCTGGTCACGATGTTGCTGTTGATGACAGTGTCAAAAACTACTGCAACATTAACTCGGTTACATCGAGGAGATACTGAGACATACTGAAACCCCGTTAATCCGGACACCTCACGATTATGAGGTCATACATGTTCGTAACTATAGCTCTCCAATCTGGACATTTATTTATTCGGTCGATCTCAGTTATTGAAGCATATAGTCAGGCAATGAAAATTGTTATGGCCATAACTACAGATGTTATAACCTGTAATTGTATATATCAATATTTCGAAATGCCAAACAAGATATTTTCTCTTTGTAACTATTAGCTTCCGCCGTGATGCTTCGTCAAATTATCTGTTTCAGTTACAGGCGGATTTAGTAATTTGTCTAATCTGAATCGAGTATTTCCATGGCTATGTGTCCTAAAATTTTACCTATACATCATATATATTATACACTTATATAAATGTGAGATCAAAATACCTTTATTCACCGAAGAATGTTAAACCTTTGTTAACGGATGATCAAACTAATTATAAGTGAAAACAGAACTCAGTAAATATTCGTTTAAAATTGTTCAGATTAGATACGACATAAGAATGGTTTTGTTTTGTAGAAAAAAATACAGGTTCTGAACTGCACGTTAAGACACTGTGCCTGGCTTTGTGGAGTCTAAACAGTTGGACAAACATGGTATACTGTACACTTAACATACTCGCTGATTACAGAAAACAACTGTACAAAATACAATCATGGTACAATGTGAATATGTTATAATTTTATCAGTTGTCATGTGATTGTTGATAAAATCGTACCCTGTATGGTAAACCTAACATCTAAGACATGTATGATTTACTATCTGTACAGTATTTTCATAGTAAACAACAATTGTCTCACACAGTAAACAGTTCACAGACGTATATGCACTACCTTAACATGTACCGGACTCCCGTTATATCAGAGGGAGTGAGTGAGTATGGTTTTACGCCGCTTTTAGCAATATTCCAGCAATATCACGGCGGGGACACCAGAAATGGGCTTCACACATTGTACCCATGTGGGGAATCGAACCCGGGTCGACGAGCGAACGCTTTAACCACTAGGCTACCCCACTGCTCCGTTATATCAGAACTGAATAAGGAACATTTAAAACACAATTTGACCAGATGAGAGATATTTAAATCAGTCTGACTCCAGACAATAGATAAAAAGAACACTTCTAGAACGTGTAGACTGACTGACTGACTGAGTTTGGTTTTACGCTGCTTTTAGCAATATTCCACCAACATCACGGCGGGGGACACCAGAAGTGGGCTTCACACAATGTACCCATGACGGGATTCGAACCCGGGTCTTCGGCGTGACGAGTCAACGCTTTAACCACTAGGCTACCCCCACCGCCCAGAACGTGTAGAATGATTGGACAGAACAATATTCCCTTCACTTTGATAATCTATTAAGTATTACGATTTCTTTTTTAGATGTATATTTTCACAGTAAACTATGGGTAAAACGAACTCAAATGAACCTCTAGTTTTAGTTCGTAACATCCGTAGTTTAATAAACGCATTTCAACTGTAATAGACAGCGAGTAATCGGGACAAAAGTAGTAAGTGACGAACATAAGGTTCGTTACAAGCGTGTTCGTTACAACGAAGTTTACTGTTTATAACTATATGTTTGGACTAAACGACAGGTTTAGTTCACATGCGACCTTATTGTACTGACAAACAATATCTAGAGAGGCAGAGGCGGCCTTAAGATGAGCAGAGAATCTTACGAGAAAATAACGATGAGGCGAAGGAACTGACAGGAATTTCTTCTGGTAACAGCTGCTTTGGCATTGCTTCTGATGTCGGGAGATTGTTCAATGTCAATAAACAGCCATATTTCTGCAGAGTTGTTCTTCTGACAATACCAGCTCTTATTCCAGCTCCGATTTGACTTGGCCATCTGGTTCTGTCAATCACAGGGTCTTCTTGTAGCGGCAGAGTCACCTTTTTCTGCTTCTGCCAGGGATTTCATGGCGCGGTATGTGCATTTTCATTGTGAATAAGCCGCCACTTAACCCTTTTCTTGTTCAGGTTCAATAAACACATTAAAAAGTCATATTGTAAATAATCCTCAGTGACGTACAGCGTCTGAACGAAATTACACCGAGCTGTCGGCTTCAGCGTTTCACATGGTATTTTTTTAAAAGTTCAGTGATATGGCCAAATTCAGACGGTGTCAACATCAGCCTCGTTTTAAGGAATTAGTCGAACCTCGTTTTGAAAATTCCGAATATACCCGACTAACCCCGAATGATCGTTCTAGTCATCAGTGTCATCCTTTGTGTGGTCGGCCATGTCGTAATATGCGTACATTGGGGTGAAGACGAGGTCGCCTTGAGTGTAGTCGGTGTCGTCCTTGTCTTTGATGTTGACGCGGCCGAAGACACACTCCTCGTAGCTAGGTGGCGCTGTGTGTGAAAAGAAACAGAACTAAATAGTATATACCTCAGATATATTCTCTATACGTGAGCTTCAACTCATATTTTACAGTGCCACTGTCAGTGACATTCGGTACCATTCACTGTATCTATCGAACAATAAAGATGTGGACTTTCACAACTTTGTGACCTTAGCGCTACGACAGTCGTAACTCCCATACAGTTACATATGTACACGTATACGATAGTCGTATGAGTCCATGATTATAACAACATAATCTTCCAATCCTTGGGACTACATTACGTAATTCCTCATTGTGATATCCCGTTTCCAGTCAGCTGACACTACCAACAATTTTGGTGAACACCAGCTTTTTACAAAATGCTTATCATATAATTATTGTCGGTGTCGGCATGAATTCGGCTTAAAACACAATTCACTCACTCACTGAATGCAGTATTACATTTTACCATCTTCAGACCCCCTTCATGTAAACTGCCGGAAAGCGTATCTATAATGGTGGCGGAAGAAACCAACACGAAATGCCTATTTAAGGCATTTGAGACGGATATCATAGGCTACATTACACGTGTCTCACCAATGGGTATATGCAAACAGGTACACATGGCGTCTAAACAAATATACAGGGCCATTTTCACAGAAAACAGTTTTAAGTGATATGTGAATTTTCAAGAGAATACTTTTGCCCAGTAATCTATTTGTACTGGTGGTAAATATTTACACCCCAAGAAAATATGAGTGAGTAAGTGAGTGAGTTAAGTTTAACGCCGCGTTTAACAATATTCCAGCTATATCACGGCGGGGTCACCAGAAATGGGCTTCACACACAAGAAAAGATGACATAGTTTCAACATTAATATGGTAATAAATAAAAGCGACTAACCCCTTTCCATATTCCCCAAAAATGTCTTATATTAACAGCGATGATCTTTAGGATTATACGATATATCATGAACCACTATCAAATAGTGATGATATCAATTGTTCAGAAAAAAGGCGAGCGTATCCTGCCGCACCGGTGACTTCTGTCACAAACACATGCAAAGGCAGGGGAAGTACAAGTACGTCACTACTTTGTGTCGTGCAGGTTACACAATTTGTTTGAAACAGCTTTCAAGCAGCACGTACACCGTCATGATAGACAGGTGAGGTGAAGTGAGGTGAAATTGTGTTTACGTCGCGCTGGAGAATATTTCGCTCATATGACGACGTGCATGCGTGTGTATGTGTATGTGCGGCTGCTTGTACTAGCCCAGACTTAAACTGAGATACCATGCCGCAGTGAAGCATGAATACCCCACTCAGACACATTATACTGACTCCGAGCCGACCAGTCCTTGTTGTACCCATTAATGCCGAGCTCCAGGCAGGGACCAACAAGTACCATATTTTAACGTCTTTTGGTATGACGCGGTCGGGGATCGAACCCTCGACCTTCCGCTTTCCGGGCGGACGCTCTAACCACTACACCACGGAGGCAGTCCATGATAGACAGGAGCTCCATTGTAACGACATTCGACATCTTAGACACTGGACAGTAAGATTGCTACACTTACATTGCTGAATAAGTTTGGTTTTCTTTGCTTTCGCTGCCGCTTCTGCCACTGTGTCTTTGGTTGAGAATGGCGTGTAGTAGGGTGGTGGTTCGATGGGTAGGGGGTGGGGCATGAAGGTCCCGGGGGTGGGCCCACACATGGGGATGGTACCGATGATGATTTCCTTGTCGAACTCTATCGCGTCACAGTTACATCCATCAGTCTCACAGATGAACTAAAACACAAAACCATAAATATATTTTACAGGGAATCCCCGTCACACCGATCACCAGCATCAGAATACTATAAATATATTGCACGGTGAATCCCCCTTACAGATGAACTATAACAGAAGACTATAAATACATTGTACAGTGTATCTCCGTCTCACAGATGAACTATAACAGAAGACTATAAATATATTGTACAGTGTATCTCCGTCTCACAGATGAACTATAACAGAAGACTATAAATATATTGTACAGTGTATCCCCGTCTCACAGATGAACTATAACACTAAAATATAAATACACTGTAACTGGAATCCCCGTCTCACGAACGAGCTGTATCAGAAACATATCATACAGTGAATCCCGTCTGACAGATGAACTATAACAGAATTCTGCAGATATACTATACACTGCCATCCTGTTTCACATAAGTCACAAAAACACATACATATGTTTACAAGTTCATGTTAGTGCATCGAGCTCTCTGGTAAGAGGTGAGGTGAGGTGAGGTGAAATTGTGTTTAACGTTGTGCTTGAGAATATTTCGCTCCTATGACGACGTGCATGCGTGTGTATGTGTATGTTCGGCTGCTTGTACTAGCCCAGACTTAAGCTGGTTTTATAGTGCTAGCTCACTGAGGTACCATACCTCAGTGAAGCATGAATACCCCACTCAGACACAGTATACTGACTCCGAGCCGACCAGTTCTTGTTGTACCCATTAATGCCGAGCTCCAGGCAGGGACCAACAAGTACCATATTTTAACGTCTTTTGGTATGACGCGGTCGGGGATCGAACCCGCGACCTTCCGCTCTCCGGGCGGACGCTCTAACCACTACACCACGGAGGCGGTCTCTCTGGTATGAAACCATATAAGGCCCCACAGACCTGTAATACATATTTGGTATCTATGATGCTGCAGCCTTTGAGGTGAGATGGGGGCAGAGGGGGGATGGTGAACGCTTCTGTCCAGATGTCTTCATTCCCAGAACTCAGTCGGTCATGTTTTAGCCTCGTTATGACTTTTTTCTCCTGGCGGGACTTCCGGTCCGTGTGATACGACATCACCTGGAGAGACAAGATAATCGGGTCAGACCAACACTTACTGATGATCTCACCATGACGTGCCGGACCAACATTTACTCATGATCTCACCATGACGTGCCGGACAAACGTTTACAGATGATCTCACCATGACGTGCCGGACCAACATTTACAGATGATCTCACCATGACGTGCCGGACAAACGTTTACAGATGATCTCACCATGACGTGCCGGACCAACATTTACTGATGATCTCACCATGATGTGCCGGACCAACGTTTACAGATGATCTCACCATGACGTGCCGGACCAACATTTACTGATGATCTTACCATGACATGCCGACCAACATTTACTGATGATCTCACCATGACGTGCCGGACCAACATTTACTGATGATCTCACCATGACGTGCCGGACCAACATTTACTGATGATATCACCATGACGTGCCGGACCAACATTAACAGATGATCTCGCCATGACGTGCAGGACCAACATTTACTGATGATCTCACCATGACGTGCCGGACCAACATTTACTGATGATCTCACCATGACGTGCCGGACCAACATTTACTGATGATATCACCATGACGTGCCGGACCAACATTTAACAGATGATCTCGCCATGACGTGCCGGACCAACATTTACTGATGATCTCACCATGACGTGCCGGACCAACATTTACTGATGATCTCACCATGACGTGCCGGACCAACATTTACTGATGATCTCACCATGACGTGCCGGACCAAACATTTACGTGCAGATGATCTCTCACCATGACGTGCCGGACCAACATTTACTGATGATCTCACCATGACGTGCCGGACCAACATTTACTGATGATCTCACCATGACGTGCCGGACCAACATTTACTGATGATCTTACCATGACGTGCCGGACCAACATTTACTGATGATCTCACCATGACGTGCCGGACCAACATTTACTGATGATCTTACCATGATGTGCCGGACCAACATTTACTGATGATCTCACCATGACGTGCCGGACCAACATTTACTGATGATCTCACCATGACGTGCCGGACAAACATTTGCCGGTTACTGATGATCTCACCATGACGTGCCGGACCAACATTTACTGATGATCTCACCATGACGTGCCGGACCAACGTTTACTGATGATCTCACCCTGATTTGGCTAGAAACATATCATTTACTGAACTCCAACTAATTTGTACTTAGTGTCTTCCTTATTCAAAACATTTTTAGAACAGGCGTTCTTATAATTACACCTATACCTGAATTCCTACTACAGCAATAAAACCTTTTATTTTGTGATCAGAAATCTACAGCCATTCCGGATATTATCTTTCCCTTCTGCAATTCGGATAGTTTAACGAATGAACGTTTGTGATTTAATTCCGGAATACATAAACAGGAAGTCTGACAATCGACTAACCCGAGAACATGTCTTAATAATAGTCGCGTCACCTTTACATATGTCTAAATAAAACCCGCAAATACAACTGGTCTCACAATGCTGTTTTGATGTCTAAACTATCTCAACTATCAGCATACTTGGCAACAGACACTTCTGTTTGCCCTATGTCTCAAGATGTAACCTATGAGTAATTGATGAGTGCGGCGTTAAACAGCAAACAACCTGTGAGTAATACATAAACACTGCGATCTCATTGTACACACACACACACATGCTTGACTGTTTCCTCAAACTGCCTCGCAAAATGGACACATTCATTCAAGATAATAAGACAATGCATTGTTGACGGGAACAAAGAGCCAACAAAAATTATTTTTCTCACGAGCTTCATGACAAGTAACTATATGAATCTTGCTGGGTGTGAGGTAGCCCAGTTGTTAGGCCTAAACCTCAGGTTCGATTCTCCACATGGGTACAACGTGTAAAGGCCATGTCTGGTATCCCTCGCCTTGATAAAACTGGAATATTGCTCAAAGCGGCGTAAAACCACATTCACTCCTTCCCTCGCTATGCACATGATGTATCATATGACGCGATGAAAACATATTTCTTAGTTTCTGTATCCCTCTTTTAGCAATATTCCAGCAATGATGGTGTCTACACATATTATCCATGAAGGGAATCGAACCCCGGTGTTTGGCGTGACGACAATATCTTTATCAACTATGCTACTCCACAGTTTAAGACCTGTTAAACAGACATCACGGTGAGAAGGAAATACAGTTTGATTTTGGGCAGAACTGTACCATATTCTTGTACATTGCTTCAGCAAATTGTATGCTGGTTTAGTACATGTACAAACATTTCTAACTTCTAATCTCAATTGTGTCCTGATAGTGGTGACTGTATGTTAAACGTTCGTGTTTCAGCGAACTCGTATATATGAAAATATACTTAGATGTTGTCAATCTGTCAGACACAACCACATAACTGGGTGCCGTTGTACAAAGCGATTATAGAGCTAGGGTGACCGTGACTTCCATACCTTAACGTATGGGAGTCACGAATCCTCTAGTAAGACTCCATAGTAGTCTTAACGCTAGGGTGACCGTGACTCCCATACCTTAACATAGACTTAAGGTAGTCTTAGCGCTAAGGTGACCGTAACTCCCATACCTTAACATAGACTTAAGGTAGTCTTAGCGCTAAGGTGACCGTAACTCCCATACCTTAACATAGACTTAAGGTAGTCTTAGCGCTAAGGTGACCGTAACTCCCATACCTTAACATAGACTTAAGGTAGTCTTAGCGCTAAGGTGACCGTAACTCCCATACCTTAACATAGACTTAAGGTAGTCTTAGCACTAAGGTGACCGTAACTCCCATACCTTAACATAGACTGATGGTAGTCTTAGCGCTAAGGTGACCGTAACTCCCATACCTTAACATAGACTTAAGGTCCTCTTAGCGCTAAGGTGACCGTGACTCCCATACCTTAACATAGACTTAAGGTAGTCTTAGCGCTAAGGTGACCGTAACTCCCATACCTTAACATAGACTTAAGGTAGTCTTAGCGCTAAGGTGACCGTAACTCCCATACCTTAACATAGACTTAAGGTAGTCTTAGCGCTAAGGTGACCGTGACTCCCATACCTTAACATAGACTTAAGGTAGTCTTAGCGCTAAGGTGACCGTAACTCCCATACCTTAACATAGACTTAAGGTAGTCTTAGCACTAAGGTGACCGTAACTCCCATACCTGAACATAGACTTAAGGTAGTCTTAGCGCTAAGGTGACCGTGACTCCCATACCTTAACACAGACTTAAGGTCCTCTTAGCGCTAAGGTCACCGTACCTCCCATACCCTAACATAGACTTAAGGTAGTCTTAGCGCTAAGGTTGTTTTGTATAACAGCACCCTGGGCAGCGAGGTGAGGGAGAATGTATGATGTGTACGTGACGCCAATGTGGGTGATGTCAGATCACGTACATATGAGTAACTTTGCATTTCGATTCTTTTAAGACACTTGAGGTATGGTGTTCTTCAGTAAATCTCGTGCAATGAAAATAATCATGCAATTTCATTTCAGAAAGGAATGTTTAACGATGGCTTAAGGGCGCTCGCGTACTATTTAGACAAAATTCATAAAAATATTTTGTTTTTAGGTTCTACACACCAAGACTCCAATTTAAATTTGACGCTTCAAGGACAAACAATGATGCCCGATGCAACTCCATATTTTGTCTTCCACCATCGTTCCCGTGAGGGGCGGTGGGGTAGCCTAGTGGTTAAAGCATTGGCTCGTCACGCCGAAGACCCGGGTTCGAATCCCCACATGGGTACAATGTGTGAAGCCCATTTCTGGTGTCCCCCACCGTGATGTTGCTGGAATATTGCTAAAAGCGGCGTAAAACCAAACTCAGTCAGTCAGTCAGTCGTTCCCGTGAATATTTGACTAACCAGTGAAGCCCCGTTAGTCCGGACTCCGATAACCCGGATGTCTCGCCTCCCGGGCGATTTAAGCTTGTTACCAATCTATGCCTATATAATTTGCCTCGATAATCCGGAAATTCGGTTTCCGGAACCGGGCGGTAAGTAGCTGTCACCAATCAGTAAAATAAACAGTAAATTGCTTCACAGTCCGGACGCTGTAAGTCGTGTTCACGAACCGTAACAACACCTCCCGGCGATGTTTACTTAATTAACTGGCCAACTGGGTAGTTGTTTTAATTAGACATTAAAAGCTCCCGACTGAAGATACTGTACATTTACACTTTGATTGACACCACAATGCAAAGGCGTGGATGACAAGTGAGCTGTTTTGTGATTGGTTAATGTACTTTGACAGACAGATGCGGTCACGTGGACGACAATGCTTTACGACAATGCTGCAAGTCACAAGTATGCTTCGCTAACTTTGCGAAATGTTACTAAATACCCCGTCTCATATTCAACCGATGGATGCAGGAATAATTCGGACATTCAAGGCATACTACAATAGATCGCTTGTTAGACATTACCTCACCTGTGCTGAGGAAGGGCGTGATCAGACACGTCGGATCAACATGCGGATGTCACTCGGTAAAATTATTGATGTGATGAATTAAGCTTTACATTAAATGCTTATTTGTTTTATCTAGATTCGTGTCGTTTTTTGTAATAGTTAGGGAAGCAACTTGGGTCTTGATTCAGTAGTCCGGACTATTCGCAATCCGGACGAATTTACTGAGAAACGCAACCGTCCGGATTAACGAGGCTTCACTGTATATGAATATGATTGATGCCACCGATGGGCCCAATACATGCTTATGGCATAATAGACTGTACAACGGACTTTGCACAGATTTCCCATGGACCTGAAAAGGGCTTTGTCGATTTTATTTTAAAAATATGCGTTTACATAAAAACAAATCTTCAACTCTCTCTTTCCGAGAAAAGTCTGTGTACTGACAGAAGAACAGTCTGTCTCGTATGTGTTATTTTCCCATCCCTCAACCTTTTGAAACAGTTTGACGAGAAGACAGAATGCCCTGACGATCTAGTGGGACGAGTTGTGGTGTCTGGTGCTCTACGAGGCAGCTGTTTCCCGTGAGACAGGGGGTTACAAAATCATATTGTAATACAATCCATCCCTCGGTAACAGCCGTGACACCGTCATTACAACACCGCTTTGCCATCAGAGCGTGTCACGAGATTCTATTTTCAAGCTCGAAAAGCTTTTCGCCATAACACGCTGTTTATCGGTGACATGATGTCTAGATAGAAGATCACGTGTTGTTGTACGTTACGAAGACTTGCACTAGTCTCTAAGGTAATAATTCATTGTTTAAATGAACATTTCTGAAAAATATAACAGACTGGCGTACGTAGTCTTGCACAAGTCTCCAAGGTGATAATTAATTTTTTAATAAATGAATAAATAACAGACTGGTGTTTGTCCGCTTATCGAAGCTTGCCTCTTTAAAGGATAGTATTACTGTACATCCATGGGCTTACCATTCAGTACAGCCTTCGAGCAAGGCTAGCTGGACGTTACGAACCAGGGTCTCGTTCCAAAAAGCGATTGCAGCCCTACGGTTCCGATATTCGTGTAGACAAACTATCGTGAAGAAGGTCTTCAATACCATACTGCTTTCTGGGAGGGGAGAATTAAACGTTGTATGATTATGTTCTCAACAGGAATGATCTGCCTCCCTCCGGCTGGAGATATTGTTTCAAAACTCGACTGCCATAAGATTCGTGGCGTGGATCTGGACACTTTTGTCATGTTAAGGATTTAAGGTTTCTGTATTTTCAATGACAGTTACAAGTTAACCTCAGTTTGAATAAGCTTGAAGAAACTTGATCTACAGAAATGTATGCATATATGAATACTGTAAAAGAAGTTCTTGCGTTATCGCAATCTCGACCTTTTAAAATAACCTTGAATTCAAATACCAGAATAAGCGAAATTTCATCGCTTCCATTTGGTCTAAAATTAGCGATATATACATCTCAGTAGCATTTGACAACAGCTATATATATTCCGCCGTCAGTAGCATTGAGACGTAACATCGAGTGATATCGTGTGAAAAAAATAGCCGCCGCATCACGCCATAGCGATGTTAATTATTTCGTCAGTGAAACTTAGCCATAACGACATATTGCACATAGTATTGAAATGGTACATTGCAATCGGATGCAATGGTTAAAATGACAGAGTGTACACTGTTGGTGGCAATACGTTGTAGCGACATGAAAGCCCAATTCTTCCAGCCCATTAACTCGAAGAATTTCGCGATAGCATTCAAGGAACGTCTCCAGATAAACATCCGTCAAAGCGTGCCAGACAAACTTCGCATGCGTTAAACTTTGTTAATGTATTTATGTCAGCTGATCAATCACACAGTCCTGTTTTGTCAGGTTCCAATGATTGTAGATCCTTGTCCTTTGATAGAGGCGAGCACGTCTGTGCCCCCGTCATACCTCTGAATAGAAGCTGGAGAAAACTAATTATCTGGTTTACGGATTAAGAAATTAACGCATTACCCGCGTAGTTAACAGGACATGCTTTTTGGCAGTTTAGGATATATTACTCGGATGATGTCACGGTACATGCACGTGCATCTGTACAGAACCGCCTTAATAATGAAACATGACGGCTTATATTACCCAGACGTTACCAAGGCCGTTGTCTGAACGTTGTATACCATTAGGTACAAAAGTTGTTATTCATACACACAAGCGAATGAACCAGTATAGTCTTATGAAGAAAGTGGCTCGTCACGTCGATGACCTGGGTTCGATTCCACACATGGGTACAATGTGTGAAGCCCATTTCTGGTGTCCCCTGCCCGTGAAGATCCGGGTTAGAATATTGATCTTCAGTAACCCATGCTTGTCGTATGAGGCGACTAACGGGATCGGGTGGTCAGGCTCGCTGACCTGGTTGACACATGTCATCGTGTCCCAATTGCGTAGATCGATGCTCATGCTGTTGATCACTGGATTGTCTGGTCCAGGCTGGATTATCTACAGACTGCCGCCATATAGCTGGACTATTGCTGAGTGCGGAGTAAAACTAAACTCACTCACTCTGGTGCCCCCCGCTGTGGTATTGCTGGAATATTGCTAAAAGCGGCGTAAAATCCAACTCACTCACTCTTAGCCATGGTGATCTATTGCAGATAGTCGTTGGCATTAAACTATAATGACATATTGCACTTATTGGGCCGCAGTAAGTCACGGCGACATGAATGCCCAATTCTTCCCATGAACCCAATAGCATTCATGGAACGTCTCAAGACAAACATCCGCGAACGTATGCCAGACAAACCTCGCATGCGTTAAACATTGTAATGCATAAATGTCAACTGATCAATCACACAGTCCTGTTTTGTCAGGTTCTAAACTCTACCCATGATTGTAGATCCTTGCATTTGATGGAGACGAACACGTACGTGCTCGTGTCAGACCTAAATAGAAGCTACTTGTACCCATGGCAGAACTAATTATCTGGTTTATGGCTTGGGGAATTAGCACATTATACGCGCAGATAACACCACATATTTTTGCAGTGTAGGATGGCATCATAGCATCGTCTGTATTGATACCTGGATGATATCAGTGTGATAAACGTCTATTTTCATATTCATGCACACACTACTTCCATTGTGAGATTCAATTGAAGAAGTGTCAAGTTCTTATATTCGGTTGAGTATATATGTAAGGATGGTTTATGTTAAACGATTCACTTTAATGTTAGAATCAGTCCTACATTACGTTCTCCATCACATCGTATATGAGCAGTTGGGCAATTTCACAGATTAGATCTACGCCATTAATGAGTTTGGCCCAGCAGGTATCCAAGTTTGTGGATCACCTTGCAGTACTTGCCTTATCTCCCGAAGGAGATGTGCTTGTACTAATTGCATACATGATGTGTGATGGCAGTAGAAGGCCAACTCAGATTTTTTGACCTTAGTGTTTTACATTAACCACATAACAGCCTCTATCACATCTATTGACTGTCAGTGTTGCAAACACGTGTTTGAGTGTGATATAAGTCCGATCTATTTGGCCCAAAACATGTTCATCGTCAGTAGCATTTAGCCATAGAAACTGTATAATTAGCATTTTACCATAGTGATTATTACATTACCAGGACAGCTGAACTGCAAGGATGAGTATACACGAGCTAATGTAATCGATGTGTTTTACAGTTTGAGGAATTAATACATTACACGAGTAATACTAATGGCTATGGGGGTCTGCTTTGTTACTCTGTTTTCTAAATGAACAGTTGGTTTAGAACATTACCCGAAATGAACAGAGAGACGGAAGTGGTGACGAAAATGAATAGCTTCGTTTGTAGATAATATCCACACGCCCACCCCTCCCTTAATATTACTGATCAAATATTTCCCCGAGAGATTTTCGTCCCGTGTGTTCTACATGTTCCACCTACTAGCCTCGACGACCATCTTATGTCAGTGTTACACCGTTCGAGCACGATCATGTGGTCTGATCCGCAGAGCAGGATTACCTACCTGTTTGAGCCAAATAAATCTGTTTGAGCACAGTATTAATCTCCACTGGGCAGATGAACGACCTCTCTGTTTGACCACGATATATCTTCACTGAGTAGAGGGACTAACTGTCAGATGGACCAGCACTGTTCGACCTGTTCGAGCAACGCGATACATCACCACTGAATAGATGGACCACCTACCAATTTGAGCCTGATCTCCGCTGAGCAGTTGGACCACCGTGTATGGTTCTCGACTTCTGTGTACAGGAGGAGCACTTCCCCCGGGACGCATCCCCGGCAGTTGGTGCAGAAGATGGCGCTGTACCCCCCACACTTGCACAGCCAGCAGCCTGCGTTCACCTCACCCTCACACCGGATAGGGTCCTGGGGAAGAAACCGTCATGGTGAAGGTGTATATATGCTTTCAAACATGTCCTGACAAAGAAACCTTGATGGCGAGGATGAATGCCTATAAACATGGGTTTATGTCTTCAGTTCAGTTGTAGCAACGTTTTTACGAATGCCAGAACATAAAGGCTCCAGATATCTATTAGCAATGACTTATGAAACTGTATGTTCGCTGCTATAGAATGACTTTAGAACAAGTGACAATATCCGGATCTCCAAACGACAAGGTCTGAGCTGCACAGAAAGCAGTTTACTAAATGGTCGTGTCGATAAGGACTGGATGTATATAATGGATGTAGAACTATTGCAAGAAACAAATGATTTGTAAATGTTATAACTGTGGGTGATAACTCGGAACTCGGAAATAGCTGTGAGGAGTTGGTCCCTGAATAGTATGCTCGTGGGTTCGGACTGATTATGAGTTTTGATCGTCTGAATCTGAAGCCATAATGTCTCTGGTTGTCATTCCTCGTTGGCCTGTGTGATACTGATAGAAACAATACCTACATTTTAACCTAGACCGCCAACATAGTCAAGCAGGGGATAGAGGGTCTGCTCGGAGCGCCGGTTCGATCCACGCTCCATACCAAATGACGCTGAACATGCTACATGTTGTTACCCTGCCTGGTGCTAGGCTTTAAGGAGAGAAACCAAGGACTGGCTAGTCCGTAAATTGTCTGAATGGGCTATTCATGTTATAATTCGGAGTGGTATTTCAGTGAGCTAGCACTATACACCAGGAATGGGTCAGAACAAGTGAGTGAGTGAGCTTTACCCCACTTTTTGCAATACTTCAGCAATATCACGGCCAGGAACACCACACATTGTGCCCATGTGGAGAATCGAACCCGGATCTTCGGCGTGACGAGCGAACGCCTTACCCACTAGACTATCTGGCCATAGCAAGTATACCCAGCCACACACAAGTCGTATAATTTACGTATAATAATCTTGAAAGCGGCGTTCATCCCCATGACACGTGACTCCACCTAACGTCATCAACAAGGGGTGCAGGTTCTTACCGACGCCTGCGGCTCCTTGTTCAGGTCCAGGTTAGCTATCACAGTGAAAGCCTTCTTGCAGTGATGGTCAAATTTCCAGGGTTTGTCGATGGTGCCTTTCACCCAGTATCGGATGTAACCGTAGCTGCCTTCAAACGACGACGGTAACGTCGCTGGCAACAGCAGGTCGAAGGGAAAGGTGTGGTGGCCCGGCTGCATGCAGTTTGTATCCTCACCTCGCAAATCTGGAATGTAAAGATAATTCTGATTACAACAAGCTGTGGGGTGACAACAAGTTTGTAAAAGACAAACAAACAAACAAACAAACTGAGGTGGGAATACTTTACGTATATCATGTCTGTGAGATGCATACAGTTCGTCAAAGGAAGAAGAATAGTAATGCAAAATGATGCCAGTGTCATAATAAACTGAAAAACAAAAGAAACTGTACACATTTTTTCAGTGGCGAAAAAATATGCATAAAAGAAACCGTTATTTAATGGCGATGATCTTTACACGTATAGCATGGTTGTGTTGTAGACGTCATGTCTGGTGGCTTCAACGACTGTTTTCCGCCGAGTGCGGTTATTCCAGACGGTTTTTTATGACGTTTATAATATTTTGGTCAAATCCAAATTTCAAGTGTATACTTTCTTTCGTCCGTCAGTATGTATAGATGACAATGAACAAGTGAGTGTGATTGCTTTTAGGTTTGCATCCTTTGCGTGATTCCCTCTAGGAGACTGACGGTCTTGAAGGAGTTATCACGCAAACTGTAGAAATTGAGATCAAAACTCGTAACCAAACCAGCTTGGCCGCTATGGTTGACGACAACAACCTGTCGTGTTTTATACATGCTTCGTATACATATAGTAGTAGCATTTGTCCTGTTCTTGCTTTGAAATGATGTGTTTCCTGGCCACACGGTTTGTTCATGTTACGTTCTTGACGATTTGACGTTCTTAACGAGTTGACGTTCCTGACGATTTGACGTTCTTGACGATTTGACGTTCTTGACGAGTAAAATCATATTTATGGTCATGATCAAATGGCGAGTCAAACGTGAAGAGGTTCGTGTGTCATAGGCGTGTCCAGGGCAGTCTCGGGAAATATTTCGGTGAATGTGTTCAGCTTGGTAGTGTTTTCATAACGTTTATTTTGATTTGATCAAATCAAATTTTTAAGTGTATGTAATACCGATAGTTACAATGGCGAGGGGCCTGTCAAACTGCTTTCACTGTGAGATTACTACTCCATTTGAACTGTAGTATAATGCTGTTTGCGGGTAACGGAATTAGCCGAGTGGAACCGAACGAATCCGGAAGCAAGGACGGACGTTACCACGGTATGTATACTACCCATCAAAAGTTTAGACTCACCAGCGTAAATGTAGCCGCTTACTTCAGTCAACTGTTCTGAACTAGATTTTGTAACATATTCCATAATGTTTAAAGGTACTGTTTACACATGAACTGATGTATTGTAAAACAAATTCGTATCGTTGAAAAGATTAGTGTAATGAGTTTAAGCAATGATGGAACTCAGTGAAAATTGGCTAAATCTTACAAAACCTTACACCAAAACGCAGCTGTTCACATGCACGATATTTGCACATGCTTTCCAGCAATTTGATGTATGATCATCGAGCAATTCATCTGCATAAAGTTTGCAGTTGGTTCCCCAAGTCAATGGAGAAATTCATCTTCGATGGAACCATATATATTTAAATAACATATAGTGAGTGCTTTAAGGTAGTCTAAACTTTTGATGGGTAGTATATTTATGTCAAACAAAATTGGCCTTCTTTGTTTACACATGCTTCAAGAACAGTTAGGCAACACCTTCATTAACCAACTAGGTTAATTCAAACAGGGCGAGGGGCGGTGGGGTAGCCTAGTGATAAAAGCGTTGGCTCGTCACACCGAAGACCCGGGTTCGAATCCACACATGGGTACAATGTGTGAAGCCCATTTCTGGTGTCCCCCGCCGTGATTTTGCTGGGATATTGCTAAAAGCGGCGTAAAACCAAACTCAGTCAGTCAGTCAAACAGGGCGAAGATTTATGTCGAAGGTATTTGTTGCAAGACTTTGTTTTGCCAAGTTTTGAAAGAAGCAATATGTATCAGAACACTTAAACGTCACACCGAGGTGAACTCTTCCCGCATGTGTCAGCGTCCTCACACCGCCATATCTATAGAGTACACCCGTCAGCGATCGTGATCTAAATTGCCATGGATAATTAAGAACAGTTCAAGTAACATGATTTACCCTCAACTGACTGACACCTGATTTGAATGGAAACCTCGACATGAGGCATTGTGTTTGAACTTAGCTGTGGTACTTTACCAGAACATTACTGAATGAGTGAGTTTAGTTTTACGCCGCACTATTCCAGCTATATGTAGGCGGTCTGTAAATAACAGAGTCTGGAACAGACAATCCAGTGATTAACAGCGTGAGCATTGATCTACGCAATTGGGAACCGATGACATGTGTCAACCAAGTCAGCGAGCATGACCACCCGATCCCGTGTCGCCTCTTAACGACAAGCATGGGTTACTCCAGATCTGTTCTAACCCGGATCTTCACGGGTCACCCGAACATTACACTGACATTACACATACATCGACATTTGGTTCAGTACACTGTTAGCTATCCCATACAATCAGACACTAATACACATCGAAGCTTTTGCTTTTATTTTGAATTGCAACAGTGGCAGGATCTGTGATCTTAGGTTCGACTTGCAGTTTCGCCCTAATTTGGGCAATATTATTTTATCTATGTGTTTCATATGGCCCGACCGACTGTAATTTGGACGCCGACCAGAAACTAATGTCTGGTATGTCGGTGTTGGGTTGAAGGGAGTACTTCCTTCTTTCTTTACATTTCCTTTACACATACACTATCATATCTTAAAGAGTAAAGGGACCCTCTAATCACAGTGGAATCTAACTTTGTGACAGTAACATCTGATTCAATCTATTTTGACGTTTTCTGCTGCATTTCTTTGTTGTTCTCTGCAGTGCAATTTGTGTTATTGATTTAAAATCTGCAAAACTGGAAACACCGCATAATATATTACTTTAGTTTCTTAGGACGTGTCTATTCTTCTTTTCTAGATGTAGATACAGACACCCCTAACAGTAAAATAAAGCAGAATCACAGTTACAGATGTTTTTGTCTTCTTTCTGAACCAACAAAGGATTTTCAATTGTTATTTTGTATTTTTGACCGACCTACTGGACCAACTTTGGAGCATGGTGGCTACGTAAAACACATACAAAATGATTTATGGAACCGCCAACCTGTGTTGTGGCTTCCGCAGCCATTAATCTGATGGAATGGAGCTGTAAAGCTGACATAATCTAACTGTTGTCCAAAGGGGCATTAAAAGCAACTCATGTGTTATAAAAGAGTATGGTTCATCGATAAGTCAGATGAGCAAAGGTTCATCCCGATTCCATCAACCATCACATATCTCATCCGAGCAGGAATATCTACTTTATGTACCGCAGCATCCGAGAACCAAAATACACCGAAAGCAGCATGTCGTAATGACAACCACGTGTCTGAAACCTGCAGTCCGTCCATTTATTGACTTATCCACTTATCAGCCTCAAGCAATTAAAGGACTCAACGTCTACGCTCAGTCTCACTGAATTAATACACATCCCCCACAGACTGCTTTCATCAGAGACCTATTCCCAGGCATTGCGAGACTAACCGTCCTTATCTCTTAACCGCGGTTCGGTGAGCTTTGAAACCATTCATAACTGACCCCCCTGAAGCTCATTGCTGCTTCAAAAATAGTCTAATCTGTTTAATGTGAGATTCAGTTATCAGTTCCCAGAATGCATGTCAAAAGCTCTACCTGTCGTCATCGCGGCTCGTCAGGTTGTTTTACTCCCAATCTGGTTTACTGGATCTTAATTTGGTTGTTTTCAACATATCGGGACGTGCTGTAGTATCAACCGTGTAGCCAAGCTGGCAGTGCAAGCACCTCTTGAAGGTGGTTCAGGACATCTTTAATGATAGGGGAAACAATTAAAACAAATTAAAGATGCTTTTGTTAAGTTGTATATTATGTAAGATATTTGAAAACTGTATCTAATATATTCTATTGCGGTATTGTAACTGAAACGGTTGAAAATCGGTGTCGAGCGTTTGTGGCCAAACAATCCTAAAGCATTACCTCTATGTATTTTCATTTGAATATCTTTTAGATAAATGTAGATTTTTTTTATGAAACTAGACTTTCGTTAATTCTTTTTCCAGAAGGGGTGGTTCATGCATGTAAGTTGGAGAAATTGATAGATAAATTTAATGTAAAAATAATCTTTATAGAAACGAACCCCAGTCACACACTGTGCACAAAGTGCAAGATGTACGGTTTAAATGCTCTACTTCTTCAGATAAGGTAACCTATGTCTTCGAATTCTGTACATATCTTAAAAGATATTGGTATAATATTTCATGATAGGTGCTGAAATAAAATAATGCTTCAAAAAACAAAAATAAAAGCTTCTGTATATTATTCCAGTGTTACTTAATGATTTAACCCATTTATGCATAGGGTCTTAGATTTTCATCAAATTTTGTGAGCTGGTTTCTTTTGGCAAGCAATGAAAGGCTGAATTTAGTTTTACACCGATTTAAGCAATATTCCAGCAATATCACGGCGGGGGGACACCAGAAATGGGCTTCACACAGCAATGAAAGAAATGAGGTGTCATCTTACCAGTAAATAATTTTTTTACATACTTTGTTTACACTGCAATAGTGCGGACTTAGGGATACATTCATCAGCTATGATCTTGAAGTCATCAGAAAACATTTCATGGGGTTCAAAAATGTCCATGAAATGTTCAGGTTTCAATTTGTTAATACACATAGTTTCATATAAAAGCCAGTTTGGTTATATTCTATGAAGGCTTTCAAATGAAAAGAGTCAATTTTAAGATTTAAGTGGTTGATCTCCCCCACCTAAGCCTAATGAATTACCTAATTTAAGTTCATTCATCTGCATATTGTCCCATTTTTGGGACGGTACTTTGGCGGAATATTGATTATGGAAAAAATGCAAAGCATTTTCATCTTATTTTTTCTATTTGAACAAAGAAAGTTTTAAACACATTCTAATGAACTTACATAGTTAAAATAGGGACCACAAAAATCGTCTTACCTCACACTTCGCCGAATTGGCAGGGGACCTGCCTTGCTACTGGAAGTGGCCATGCTTAAA